AATTAGGCGTCCATCACATTTAGCTGTATTAAAATCTCAGATGTCCCCCAGAGTAGGGAGACTTGGAATTGCTGGAATATTCAAAGGACTCTTTGTTGAACAATTGAATTTACTGTAGGCTTTGAAAACCCAAACAGCGTACATGCCCAGGACTCAAAGGAACTCACAGACGGGTGACACAGACCATGGCTGGCGGTCTCTAAGAGCTCAGAGGGAATTGGAGACATGCCAAGAGACTAGAGCGGAGTCAGTATCATCTAATATCTTCTGGGGTGTTTTAGTATGTCTGAGAAATATTATTTTATTTTTTGGTGAGAACATTTCTGTTCTGTCAACAAATTTCAGTTATACCATACACTGTTAGCAACTAAAGTCACCATCTCATGGATTAGATCCTCAGATCTTATGCCCCTTGTAACTAAACATTTATATCCCTTTACCGACCTCTTCCTGTTCTTTTCTGCCCTCCAGCTCAAGGCAACCACTTTTCTACTCTTTCTTTCTATGAGTTTGACTTTTTTTTTTAAAGATTTTATTTAGTTATTTGACGGACAGCGATCACAAGTAGGCAGAGAGGCAGGCAGAGAGAGAGAGGAAGGGAAGCAGGCCCTCTGCTGAGCAGAGAGCCCAATGTGGGGCTCGATCCCAGGACCCTGAGACCATGACCTGAGCCGAAGGCAGAGGCTTAACCCACTGAGCCACCCAGGTGCCCCATCTATGAGTTTGACTTTTTAAAAGAGGAGTCCACATATAAGTGATAACATACTCTGTTTGTCTTCCTCTGTCTTATTTAATTTAATGCCATCGAGTTCTATCCATGTTGTCCCAAATGGCAGAGTTTCCTTCTGTATTATGACTGAATAATATTTCATTGGGGGAGATATATATATATATATATATATATATATATATATATATCTCGTGTGTGTGTGTATGTGTGTGTGTGACATCTTTATCCATTCATCTGTTGACAGAGACTTAGGCTACTTCCATGTCTTAGCTATTATGAATAATGTTGAAATGCACATGGGTGTGCTGATATCTCTTTGAGAGAATGATTTCACTTCCTTTGGATATATACCCGGAAGTGGGACTGCTGGATCATACAGTAGTTCTATTTTAATTTTTCAAGGAACGTCCATACTGTTTCACGGAGGGGCCGCACCAATTTACATTCCCACCAACAGTGCCCAAGGACTCCCTTTTCTCCACATCCTCTCTGATACTTGTTACCTTTTGTCGCTTTGATGACAGCCTAACAAGTGTGAGGTGATGTCTCATTGTGGTTTTGATTTGCATTTACCTGATGATTAGTGATACGGAGCATCTTTTTATGTATCTGTTGTCCATCTGTGTTTTTGGAAAAAGGTCTACTCAGTCCCTTAGCCTATTTTTTAAATCAGATTGGTTGTTTTTGTTTTTTTGGGGTTTTTTCCTGCTATTGAGTTGTGTGAGTTCTTTATGTATTTTGGATATTAACCTCTTATCAGATATGTGATTTGCGAATATTTCCTCCCATTTAATAGTTGCCTTTTTGTTTTGTTGATGGTTTCCTTTGCTGTGCAGAAGCTTGTTAGTTTGATGTATTCCCGCTTACTTATTTTTCCTGTTGTTGCCTTTGCTTTCGGTGTCAAATTAAAAAAATCTTTACCAAGACCAGTGTTGAGGTGTTTATCTCTGTTTTCTTCTAGAAGTCTTACAGTTTCAGATCTTATGCTCAACTCTTTAATCCATTTTGAGTAGGTTATTGCATATGATGTAAGATAGAGGTCTGGTTACATTGTTCTGCATGTGGATATCCAGTTTTCCCAGCATCAGTTAAAAAGACTATCCTTTCCCCATTATATATTCTCGGTTTCTTTGTTGTAAATTGATTAAGTATATAAGCCTGAGGCTCTCTAATCTGGTCCATTCTATGTGTCTGTTTTTATGACAATGCCATACTGTTTAATTACTGTAGCTTTACAATGTAGTTTGAAATCAGAAAGTGTGATGCCTCCAGCTTCGTTCTTCTTTCTCAAGATTTCTTTGCCTATTAGGAGTTTTGCAGTCCCATACACACTTCAGGATTGTTTTTCTTTTTGTGAAAAATGTCATTGGAATTTAGATAGGAATGGCGTTAAAACTACAGATTGCTTTGGGTATATGAGAGTTTAATATTAATTATTCTAATCCATGAGCACGGGATATATTTACACTTATTTGTCTCATCCTCAGTTTTTTTTCTTCAGTGTCTTACAGCTTTTAGAGAACAGATAACTGGTATCACCTCCTTGATTCTATTTATTCCTAAGTATTTTATTCTTTCTGATGCCATCTTAAATGGGATTGCTGTCTTCATTTCTCTTTCTAGTAGTTCGTTGTTGGTGTTTTAGAAACAGCTTATTTTTACATGTTGATATTGTGTCTTGCAACTCTACAAAGTTGTTGGTTATAACAGTTTTTTTGTGGGGTCCTTTGGGGTTTTCTATATATAATATCATGTCGTCTGCAAATAGAGACAGTTTTGCTTCTTCCTTTCCAAGTTGGATGGCTTTTGTTTCTTTTTATTGCACAATTGCCCTGAATAGGAGTGGTGAGAGTGAGCATCCTTGTCTTGTTTCTGGTCTTAGAGCTTTCAACGTTTCACCGTTGGCTATGATGTCAGCTGCGGGATTGTTACCTGTGGCCTCGCGGTGTTGAGGTGTGTTCCCTTTATACCCAGTTTGTTGCAAGTTTTTATCTGACAAAGTTTTCAAACATCTTAAAGTTTTCAAATATTGTCTAATATTTTTTAAGGGAATAAAATACAAATATAGAAAATTACAGTTCTATAGGGTTGGTACATTTGACCCTCAATAGAACTTGATAAGCAAATAAGTAGGTCCAAAATTTGAAGGAACATAGTTAAAAACCTTGTTGAAATTAAGATCTACTAAGGCTCGGATGTTGCCTCTGAGAACAAATAGGACAAATGGAAGCAAAAAGACATTGTAGTTACTGGGCTTTGTAGCTGTAAGTGTGGTTGAGAGATTCTGTATGAAAAGTGTTGGCAGTAAAGTGTGATGCTATTATTATAAGTAATGTAGAGATTAGATAAAACAGCAATGAAGTAAAATTACTAGATTTTATCCCAAAATACAATATTAGTGGTTATATCTAGGAATCATTTTTCATTTCTGGTTTCCTTTTCTAAGTTTTAAAATTTCATATGATTAAATCAGACACAAATTATTATTTTTTGATTGACTTACTGGGTGTGGGGTGAGGGTCAAGCATCCATAGTTTAAAAAATCTTTTCAGGTGATTCTGATCAAGCGTTGAGGCCCTCCATGCCTGTGGGTATTCCAGAACATAACAATGAGGAAAGGCTGGTTGACCTGAATCTTGGGGAATGAAAAGGGATTTTATGTCAAAAGTGAATTTAAAGAGAAGAGCTAATTTTGGCCATTCTAACTGTTGTAAGGTAGTATCTCAATGTGGTTTTGATTTGAATCTCCCTAATGGCTAAGGATGATGAACATTTTTTCATGTCTCTTGTTAGCCATTTTTACCCTGAAGATACAGATGTAGTGAAAAGAAGGGCTATATGTATTCCAATGTTCATAGCAGCAATGGCCACAGTCGCCAAACTGTGGAAAGATACAAGATGCCCTTCAAGAGATGAATGGATAAAGGAGATATGGTCCACATATACTATGGAGTATTATGCCTCCATCAGAAAGGAGGAATACCCAACTTCTGTATCAACATGGACGGGACTGGAGGAGGTTATACCGAGTGAAATAAGTCAAGCAGTAAGAGTCATTTATCATATGGTTTCACTTAACTTGTGGAGCATAAGGAATAGCATGGAGGACATTAGGAGAAGGAAAGGAAAAGTGAATTGGGGGGAATTGGAGGGGGAGATGAAGCATGAGAGACTGTGGACTCTAAGTAACAGGGTTTTGGAAGGGAGGGCAGTGGGGGGATGGGTGAGCCTGGTGGTGGGTATTAAGGAGGGCACGTATTGCATGGAGCACTGGGTGTGGTGCATAAGCAATGAATCTTAGAACACTGAAAAAATAAATTTAAAAAAATAGAGAAAGAAGAGCTGGAGGGTTTCAAGTCAAGAAGCTAGGCCAGGGCCAGATTGATGTGGGAATTCACGAGGACTTCCACATGCCGGGAGTGTGGAGGCTGTAGGGTGCAAGGAGGAGGTGTATTGGTAGCGTGCAAGGGCAGCCAAAGCCTGAGAGGCTGGAGCTCATGGGGAACTGAGAGTGTGTGGTCATCCAGAATCCAGCACGACTGTGAGGGAGAGACCTGGGCACATCACCAGTGGTGGAGAGAGAGAAGATCACAGTGATGAGGACCTCTGGACAAGGGTGTCAGCATGCTAAGGTCACAAAGCTTGACCACTGTGTATGCTGTGCTATCTCTGAGCAATAACACTTCTGGGATTTTTTGAGCCATCATCTATGTATTTCTTTCCCTCAAATAATAGAAAGCATTTCCTTGTATTCACATCTCTTCAGTTATTTTACTTTTCCTCTCTATGCCTGGAGAATACTAAATAAGAAAAAAAAAACTGTTGTGACAAGAGAATGAGATTATATATATATATATATATATATATATATACACATATGTATATATATTCAGTATATGTATATTTTGTATTCACATGTATTTTTTTTTTCCTTATCATCAACAATCACCTTCCCCAGAGCACACACTGAGAATAAGCCTGTAAGCTTTGTGAGCACAGGACCAGGAGAATTCCCTGAGCCCGGTCTCCGAGTGTTCCGTTACGCTGTGTACGTGACACTGGTGAATGCAAATATGGCTGACAAGTGCAAGGAAGCCTGTCGCATCTCAGAGGGGTGCTCGTTCCCACCTTGCCATTCCTTGTCACATGTGCGTCCGGGGATGGACTTGCCCTTTGAGTCTTCTAATAGTTTCTCAGAATTGTGTAAAAGTGCAGTGGTCAGTTCTGTGGTGCCCTCCGTGTAGAAACAGTCTGCCTTTTATCCTCGCAGATCTCAGCTCATTTTCAAATACCTTGAAAAGATGCCGGAAGGAGAAAAAGGAATCCTCGGTGTTCAGCCAGCGGACGGAAGAGGCATCTGCCGTACAGTACTTCCAGGTCAGGAATGTTGCCCCCCACCCCACCCCCGGGGGGGGGGTGGAGGAAGGAGTCGTTTCCAGGTGATGCATACCTGCAGACACACCTGTGGACACACCTGGGGAGGCTGGAGGATAGAGAGGAGGCAATGGGCATGGCCCTGGCCCTTCCCACCATGCGACCCCCTGAGCAGCAGCCACAACAGCAGGCCCTGGGTTGCTCTCACTTCTCAAGTTGTCAGGACTTGGGGACAAGTGGTCGTATCTCTCTGAGCCTCAGTTTGTCATCTGGGGAATGAAATTCATCTGATATTGTATGATTTAACTTGATTAGAGGATGTACGTGAAACATTTATCTTTATGCATGTAACATAGCAAACTCTACCCGAGGCGGGGGCAGTTACAGTGCTGAGACTTGTGACTCAGTGTTCACGGATTTGTGTGCACCCATCACCCAGCTGGCTTGCCTGATCAGGGTAACTGTCACCACTACCTACTGCCCCAGTCCTGCCCTCGCTGCACATCTCTGTCCAAGTCCTGTTTTTCTCTCTTGGCTCAGGAAACTCATTAGGGATGTCCCTTTTGTCTCTGGGCTCTTTCTCTCTCTTACCCCTGTTTCCCCTTGATCTGTGTTCTCTTATAGCCTCTGCTTTGAGAAGAGACCCTGGGCACCTATCTGGCCAGTATCTAGGCCTGGATCTATTGCACAGAGCAGCCTTTTGGGGTCTGGGGTCAGCTTACAGTTCTGGACGTTCCAAATAGGGCAAACATGGACAGGTCCCTGTGCCTTTCAGAGCCTCAGCTGGCCTACACGTTAGGCTCAGCCCACCTTGACCCAGGTGGCTGCAAGAACCAGGTGCTCATCGAGGTGATGCCTTGTGGGTTGTTGACTCTCTCTATCCTTCTGTTTTCCTTACAGTTTTATGGCTGCATTTCCCAGCAACAGAACATGATGCAGGATTTTGTGAGGACAGCCACTTACCACAGAGCCATCCTCCAGAACCACACTGACTTCAGAGACAAGGTAATGCAGGCAGCGTGTTCTTAATCACGAACCATTTTAAGAAGCCTTGTCAAAAAACCAGAATCCAGATTACGCTTGGATAGAATGACCATATGACCCAGCAATTCCACTCCTGGTTATATACACCCAAGAATTGAAAGCAGGTATTCAAACAACTGTTTGTACCTGAATGTTTATAGCAGCACTATTCACGATTAGCCAGAAAGCGGAAAGAACCCAAAATGCCCGTCAGCTGGTGAATGGATAAACACAATGTGGTCTAGCCATACAATGCAATATTGTGGGTGTCATTCATATTTATCTCATCCGTAAAAATAGTGAAAGGGTGGTACAGCCTTCAACATCCATGAACTTCCAGAACGTGCGAGTGAAACAAGTTACAAAAACTCGTGCATATGATTCCACTTACCTGAAACATCTAGAATAGGCAAGTCCATAGAAAGGAAGCAGACTCCTGGTGAGTGGGGGCGGTCACCAGGGAGAGTCCACCAGGGGGAGTTCACCAGGGGGAGGAGGAAATGGGGAGTGGTGCTTCATGGGTGCAGGCTCTCCTTTTGGGCTGACAGAAATGTCTTGAAACTTGATGCAGATAACAGTTACACAACCTGGTACGCGTGCCAAAGGACACTGAATTTTACAATGTAAAATGAGTCATGGTCAGTTTTATATTACGTGAATTTTGCCTCAATGCAGAGATTAAGCCTTGAGTGCCAGGAATGCAAGAGACTGAATGCACTCGGTCTGGGAGGCCTGAATGGGTTAGGACCTCTCTTGCTACGTAATGAATAGCTCTTATGGAGTCTCTTCACTTCAGTTTTTTGTTGTTTTTTTCCACGGACTCCACAAGCGCCTGCGTGATTTCCTTCACAAAATGGATCTGAACAATGAGTGACTGCTAACACGTTACCCAGGGTTGCCCATTATTCTCCCACTGTTAAATAGCCCGCGTTCAAAATACTGTGTGGCTCCTCTCAGAAGTGAGAACTTGGGGCTCCTGGGTGGCTCAGTCTGCTAAGTATCTCCCTTCAGCTCAGGTCATGATCCCAGGGTCCTGGGATCGAGTCCCACATCAGGCTCCCTGCTCAGTGGGGAATCTTTTTCTCCCTCTCTCCTTCCCCCTGCTCGTTCTCTTTCTGTCTGTGTCAAATAAATAAATAAAATCTTTTTTAAGAAAAGGAGAAGAAGAAGAAGTGAGGACTGGTCGGTGGAATCCGTAGTCCTGGGATTTAGTTTTATGTTTTCTCCCTGACACGCTGTGTGATCTTAGGCAAAACACTAACCCTGTCTGAGTCTCAGCGTCTCTTCCACTGCCATAAAAACTGCAGACCATGGCCTTCGATATTTGTAGCACTAATTCCCTTGGAAGGGTGTGGTGTATCATGGAGATAATGATCCTAAAGACTCATGGCTCCCTGTGTCCATGCCCATTTGCAAGGTTTTTTTTTTTTTTTTAAGATTTTATTTTTTTATTTGACACAGAGAGGGAGATCACAAATAGGCAAAGCAGCAGGCAGAGAGGGGGAGGGGGAAACAGGCTCCCCGCTGGGCAGAGAGCCCAATGCAGGGTCGATCCCAGGACCCTGAGATCATGACCCGAGCCGAAGGCAGAGGCTTAACCCACTGAGCCACCCAGACGCCCCGATTTGCAAAATCTTAATAGCTTCTCTTTCATCAAAAGATTGTGTGATTTTTTTTTTTTTGCCTTTATCTCTGTGCTATCCTTTTGATATGCTTTCACCAATACACTGTGACAGAGGTTAACGCTGTATGGATTTCAGACCCGAGGTCTTAAGGGGCCTTGTGGCTCCAGGCCTCACCCTCTTGGAACCCTGAGATTATCATAACATGAAGGAGCCCAGTCTAGCCTACCAGAGGTTGAAAGGTTGGTTAAAGAGAACTGAGACACACCAGTCAAAGCCCAGCACCAACTGCCACTCTTATGCGTGGGGCCATCTTGGACCACCAGTCCAGCCATCCTTCTACCTGAATGCAGAAACATGAATGTATGTAGGCAAGACCAGCAGAGAAGCTGTCCAGCCCTCCCATGGAAGTGAGAGAAATTACAAATTGTTTCCAGGTTAGGGCACTAAATTTTGACGTGGTTTGTTATGCCTCAGTAGTTAATTAAAGCAGAAAATGCAGGAAAAAGTAGTTATAAATGGTCACCCAGCTAGAAGTTGATTTGCCACTGGCTTTCTTTCCTCTGTCATCTCCATTCTGCTCTTGAGCCCTCAGAGGTGGTGTCTTTTTTGGTTTGTTTGTATTGTATTTTTCAATTCCAAAATTTCCACCTGACTCTTGTTTATGTCATCTGTTTCTTGCCTGAGACTTTCTCTTTTACCCATTGGCTTCAGCAGTGTTCATGATTGCTGGTTGGAGCTTCTTATCATAGTTTGGTCAGATAATGCTCACATCTGTGTTATTGCTGTGTTAGCTTTAGTTGATTGTCCTTCCCGAGGGAACTGAAATTTTCCTGATTCTTCTTACGGCAAAGAATTTTGGGTCGTATTCTATACATCTTGAATTTTTTTTTTTTTTGATGGCTTAGTGCTTTTTTTTTTATTTTTTTTTAATTTTTTCAGTGTAACAGTATTCATTATTTTTGCACCACACCCAGTGCTCCATGCAATCTGTGCCCTCTCCAATACCCACCACCTGGATCCCCCAACCTCCCACACCCCGCCCCTTCAAAACCCTCAGATTGTCTTGAATATTATGTTCTGAGATTCTAGGTCTTATTTAAAGCCTAGGGAGAATGTTGGGGTGCCTGGGTGGCTCAGTGGGTTAAAGCCTCTGCTTTCAGCTCAGGTCATGATCCCAGGGTCTTGGGATCAAGCCCCGCATTGGGCTCTCTGCTCAGTGGGGAGCCTGCTTCCTCCTCTCTCTCTGTCTGCCTCTCTGCCTACTTGTAATCTCTGTCTGTCAAATAAATAAATAAAATCTTAAAAATAAATAAGTAAATAAATAAATAAAGCCTAGGGAGAATGTTAATATTTTTGTTGTTGTTTTCATTCAACTTGGTTACGTTATGGCTGCAAGTTCCACACCTCTAGGTGGCCTTCTGAGAGCTCTGGTTCTTATGTCAGCTAAGTTTTTTAAAGCCTTTGGCAATGCTATTTCAATCTGCATGTGTGTGTCACCCGGTGGTCAGGCTGGCACCCGGACAGAGTTCTCAAAGGACTGATAATGCAAATTAAGATCAGATTCATGCACGTACAGATAGATGGTGAGCCCAGGAATTTTTTTTTTTTTTTTTTTTTTTTTTTTAAGAAAACTTCATGGAGCTGCTTTGCCAAGCTCCTTCCTCTCCATGGTTTCCCTGGTACTTTCTAATTCCCTGGGATCACTTGTCAGTCTCTGGCCACAAAGTTCACTCTGTCATGCATTTCTGTGACTTGGCCTGCACTGGCCCAGCAAAAAGAGGACAAAGAAAGAAAAAAGGCAGCAGGGGATGGTCGCAGGTTTTGGGGATGACAACACCACTGAATGCAGAGGTGGGTTCCCCTCCCTCATGGTTTTGGCTCGTGTAGATAGATCCTGTCACTAACATTAGATCACAGGGGGCTTGAACACAGAAGAAAGGGGAGGAAAGGAAAGGAGGGAGAAGGGAAAGAAAAAAGAAGAGGAAGGGAAAACCAGAGTATTTCCATATTTGAGATTATAGTTTACTTTGTTGATTCTGGAGCCCAAACGGTATCTCCAGGAGCTCTTTGGTCTGTACCCTGGTTCCCATTTCTGGTGTGTTGCTTTCAGACTATGGATGGGGTAGCGAATTCAGTTTGGTAGTATTTTGAATTCTGGTCTTTCCCAGTCTACCTGCTACTCTATACTTTTCAGAGCCTTCAAGTATCTGTTTCATGCATGTTGTCCAGATTTCATAGCTCTATTCAATGGGAGAGACAGAGTGTGGCAGACTCTCTCCCACTGACCCAGGATCAGACGGTTGCCAGTAGCCAGACCTAGGTACTCTGGTGAGTGAGGACGATGGTAGGAAGCAAAGACAAGATAAGAAATGGTTGTGTTTGGCCACAAGGTCTCCTATTTCTTGTCTTATGTCTTGAGGTGCCCAGGACCCTTGCCTTGCCTGTGCGACCTGCCTGGTTAACAGATAGGAAGTAAACATTCCTAACAAGGAAGACCTGATTATGGCAGGTGTGCAGGATTAGGATAGAGGGGGAATACTTATTTCTTTTGACACTTTAGTTGGTATTCAGGATTGTGGGTAAGTAGTCTTACTGACCAAAGGTATTTTTTGCTAATTAAAACAAACAAACTATAAGAACTCCAAAATATTGATCCCTTCTACACAGTTTGAAGCTATTTCCTGGAAGTAATACTTTTGTTTAGGGAAACTTCTCTGCCTCTAAAATTGCTTAGTTTTAATCTATAACCTATTTTCTATTACCTGTAATCTATTTTCTATATCTCTATAATCTGCTTTTAATTCTGGGGTTATAGCATCTAAAGACTGCTTCCCAAACTACCAATCATATGAATAATTTGCACTGTAGGCCTTCACAGAATTTCACATGGATTATGCCACTTGACCATTTCATTTGTGTATCTTTTCATCTGTAAAAATGAAGATACTGGACCATATCATCTTTAAGGTCACTCATATCTATAACCTCATTTGATTTTGCAAAATATCCTTTTTCTGCCAGCCTGAAAGGGGTTTGTCTGCCAATGAAATAAAATAGGCTTCTATCTGTTAGGGTTTATGAAGGTGATAATTAATCACATGGCTGATAATTAATTATATCTCTTTCCCCCTCTGAGTTCTGAACCAATTTAGAAATAGACACAGATGTCAGGTAGAAATAATAGCAGCTTTATGGCCGTTAGTGCTGATTGGAGAACAGTGCTTGGACCTGTGGCCAAATAAAGCTTCTCATTTGTTTCTCCCACAGACTGAATTTTTCTACCCATTTGTATGCTGAACAGCCAGTCTCCCTGGATAAGCCCCGAGCCTGCCCCGCAAGCACCCATGTAGGGAACTG